CTCCCCCTCTCTCCCCCTCTCTCCCCCTCTCTCCCTCTATTTGTATACACACACACACATACATATATCTATGATATATATTGCATATACATTCCAAAAATATTCCTAATGTATTGCTGTGATGACAATATTAATCATTTGGTCAAAAACCTTTATTGGCTCCCCATTCCCCCATAAGATGAAATACAAATTCCTTATCCTGGTATTTAAGGCTCTCCACAGTCTGGCTGCTGCCCCTTTTCCAGTAAATAATATTTCATTTTATTTACTCTTCAGTGATTTTATATCCCGGCCAAACTGAACTACTATCTCTTCCCCAAACAACTCTTTTTTTGTCATCTCTATGCCTCTGCTCCATGACTGGAGTATTTATTCTCTTCATCAATTCAATACATATCAACAAACTTTAAGCCTTTAATATTTTTACAGAATTGGGAGGTGATGACAATACAAAGAAAAAAATAATCTGTCCTCAAAGAACTTGAATTTTGGGGGTACTGGTGGTGGAAAATACATTTATACATTTAATCAGATATGAAGTAATTCCAAGGTTCTCATCTGTAAAATGAGCTAGAGAAGGAAATGATGAACCACTCTAGTATCTTTGCCAAGAAAACCCCAAATGGGGTCATGAAGAGTCAAACATGACCAAAATGCCTGAACAACAACAAATTCCAAGAATGAGAGTGCTAATCACTGAGCAGAGGCTGAAGGGGGTATGGATCAGGAAACCCATTATGTAGAAAGGGGCACTTGAGCTGGGTTTTGAAGGAAGTTAGGAGGTGAGAGATGAAATGCTTTACAAACTTGGGAGAGCAACTGTGCAAAGGTATATAAGTAGTGAGAAATAGAATGCTGTGTATAATAGAAAAGGGTAGCAACTTGTTTGACTAGAATATTGCAAAGTATAATAATGCAATTTCATGATTTTCATGTTTTGGGGGTCATCTTGAAAGAATTCAGGCTCGGACCATCTCCAATCCAAGCAAAGGCATTTATTTAGAGTAACACCTTTCAGGAATCAGGCTGGATTCCAAGAGGAACTGGCAACTTCAGTAAGACAAGACCAGCAATTTTATAGTGTAATGATGCTGATTATACAACCAAAATTATGAATATTAAAAAGGCAGGAGAGGTTTGTCAAGGGATTGGTTAATGGAGGAGAGGTCTCAGCCTCGGTAGTACTGTACATGCAATTACCCATAATCTATACAGAAAAGTCGAAATGGGGAGGGGATTAATTGATATCATAATATCATCTACATCATAAATTCAACTAAAGGATAGCTTTTGCTATTATTGTGCAGCTGCCTACTTAGGGGAAGTTCTTTCTATCATTTTGAGGTCTACATCCTGCTTGGCCATTCTAGTGGTGCTGCTTTCTGACTGGCTGGCTATTGTGGTCCTGTCTGAGACTAGATGGATATGTTTGTAGTTGAATGTATGGAATGCCTGCTGTTTCTGTGAGAAATATGAGTTCATGGACACACCTACTGTTTCTATGAGAAATATGAGAATTGGGTCTGGGGGCAGTGGCTAGCTAGAGGCAATGGTTAGGAGTCTATCACATGAATATGCCTGCTATTCTAATGGGGCAGTGAGGCATATATGAGGAAGTTAGGATATTGAGTTAGGGATGGGGTGGGGCAGTGGTTAGGTAGAAGCAATGCGCTTGCTGTTCAGTGAAGCCTATGATTGAGTCTGGGGGCCTGTGGTGTTGTTACATCAGGACATGCCTGCTATTCAGTGAGGCCCATAAAAAACTTAGAATATTGGAGCTGGGGACAGCTTTATTAGGATTCCATCAGTGAGACTGGAATGGCAGGTGGGATCCAGGATGAGGATTTTGTATTTTGTCCTGGAGGTCATAGGGAACCACTGAAGATTTTTGAGTGGGGGTATGTGATGTGGTTAGGTATGTGTTTTAGGAATTATTAATTTGGTGGGCTATATTTTCTTTGTACTGTCATCACCTCCCAATTCTGTAGTGGATGGATTGGAAAGGTGAAAGAATGAAGGGAAACAAATTAGGAAGCTACTGTATGAATGGAAGGTGATAGATGGCCTGAACTAGGGTGAAGTGGAAGAACTGTGATTAGAGTGAAGAAGAAGAAGAATGGGAAAGAAGTTGTGGGAGGGTAAATAAGACTTAACAATTGACTTCATGTGGGGGTTGAAGGAGTAGGAAGATACTGATGACTTGGAATTACTGGAAAGGAGGTTGTGCCCTCAATAGAAATGGGGTAGTTGTAGGAAGGGAAATGGGTTGGGCGTGTTGGTGGTGGTAGTGGAATGTTTCTCCTCAACTGCTAGTACCCTTTCCAAGCTACCTGGTATTTAACTACTTTGTACATATTTCTATTTGTATTCACTTTATATTTATGCTCTACATATTTTTATATGTACTACTCTGTGTCATTAAAACATAAACATGTGATTGAGTAGGGATTGTTTCATTCTGCGTACTTGTGTCAATACTGCCTGGCGAACAAAAGGTCCTTAATAAATACTTGTTGATTGAATGATAGATTTGGGAGTCAATTGTATGGAGATGATAATTGAACACCTTGGGAGCTGATGAGATCACCAGGAAAGAGAAGAAAATGTAGCCCAGGACAGAACCTTAGGATACACTGGGCATGAACTAGCAAAAGAGAGTGAGAAGTGAGTAAAAAGTAGAGTGACAGATCCAAGAAGACAGGAAATGGGGGTAGGAACTGTCATTGTCAAAAAACTAGGATTTAGAAAAGGTAATTGGATTTACTGTTGAGATCACTAATAATGTTAAAGAGAGTAATTTTAGTGTCTGGTGGCTGCCCTGATTGCAGAGGATTGAAAAGTAAATTCTTGAGGGCAAGATCTTTGGTTCACAGGTGCCTAATATAGTGCTTGGTCTATAGATGTTTAATAAATGTTTGAGTCCAATTATTTAAACTGCTAAAAACAACAATTTGCAGGTGGATTTATACTCTCTTGCTTTGGAGATTGAAGCTAAGATGATAATGATGATGATGATGATGATGATAGTAATAATGATGATAGATAGTATTTGTGCCAGGCACTGTGCTAAGCATTTTATACGTCTCGGTTAATCTTCACAACAACTCTGGGAGGTAGGTGCTATCCCCATTTAACATATGGGGAAACTGAGGCAAATAGATGAGGTGATTTACCCAGTGTCATACAGGAAGGATTTGAATTCAGGTCTTCCTGTCTCCAGGTCCAGTCTGCTAGCTACTAAGCTACCTAGGTGCCTAATAGTTAGGGTTCAGATAAGAT